ACACTGAAGATCAAGATTACTGAAAATCAAGATTTATATCTCGTTTTAGTCGAGACAACAGATTTTCTATCGGATTCAGGTCCGGACTGTTTCCAGGCCACTTCAAAATGTTTATCTATTTGGCTTTAAATCAATTTTTGACAGATTTTACGGTGTAGCATGTAGCACTGTCCTGCTGGAACACACAGGTTTCTATTTTGCCCTCAAACAAATCATCAAATGATGGGAGTAATTTGGCTTCTAATATGTTTTCTTGGTATTTTTTGGCGTTTAAAATACCATTCACAATGTGGATACGACCCACGGCATCTCTGGTAATGCATCCCCACTCCTTGTGTTTTTTTGCCAAAACCAAACGATTCTTTCGTTGTTTTTTGTTTTAATATGGTTTTTTTCTGGGTCTTCTTGCTTTTAAACCATTTAAACTAACCGAAATTCTGGCGGCCTCTAAATCATTTTTAATTTCAGCTGAAGTTGCTCTTCGGTTCTTAAGTGCAAGCCTCATTATCATCCTGTCATCCTTGGCAGTTATCTTCTTATTTTTTCCATTTTTAAAGGTATTGGTTGCCTTAAACCTTTCGCACACCTTCCTTACTCCAGATTTTGTTGCTCCATTTTTTCCGACGTTTTGGCGATTTCCATGTACGAATAACTTTCTCAACGTAATATAACAGCTTTACATCGCTTTGTAGATGACCAATATCCTTTCGCCATCGTAAATAAAAGTACAATTTTAAAAAAAAACACTGAATCTTCAAGAGCATTGTCGACTTTTCACCAGTTATTGTTGAAACTCAACTAAATGACTACAAAACAATGATCTTGTATTTATAGCTTAAAAGATTTATGGATAAAAATGTTAATTAATAACGTAATTAACTATTAGTCATCGCAATAAACAGACTAATTTTCACAAAAACACAAAAATAATAAAACATTCACCTTTTACTAGAGAAACCCATAAGCAGAGCAATGACTCATTTTTGACACCATTTAACAATAATAATCCATAATTATGTTTAAAAATGATTTAAACGAATAAAAGTTGCGATTTCCAAAAAGCCAAATAACAGATGACGTGGTTTAAATATAAAAATAAATAATTAAATCCACCAAATGCATGATATGTCAACTTTTCTAAGAAAAATGGTAAAAATTACATGGGTGTCCATTCCAATGACCACTAGTGTATAACTCAACCTTTTTTGCTAAATACAAACTAATTTTTTTTGTCTTTTTAAAAAATTTTGCTGCTTAAGTTTTGATGAAAATTTTTTTTTTTAATTTTTTGGCTTTTTAAAAAAAAAAAATTTTAATTTTTGGCTTTTCAAAAAATTTTGTGGCTAAAATCTAGTCTTAAAACTCGTGAATATGAAAACAGTCAAGACCAGAAAAAATACGATATGGAGAAAAATAAAAAAAAATTTAAAGAAAGGTCAAATTTTGGACTATTCCGTTGTCAGTCAGTCAAAAAATAAAGAAGAGGAGGAGCATTTCTATATTTTTTTGATGACATATTATTCAGTACCAAGAATAACTTAGCACAGAGTAGCAGCAATCAAGTGATAAAAGAAAAAAAAATTGGAATCTTTTTAAGCAATTGGAGATAACGTTCTGAAAGACATTAGCACAAACACAACTATTAACTTCTGTGGATGCAAATATATAATTATGTGTGTGAAATTGTTATAATAAAAATGAAATATTCAAAGTAATATTCAAAATTTCATTAGAGTTTTAATTTTTCATAGAAAAGCAAACCTCTCTTACCGTAGTGGAAGAAGTTAAACAAAAATGCAAAAAAAAGTACATGAATTATTTGAAAACTAAAAGTTTAAATTGAAATTTTGCAATTCGAATGAGAAGGATGTCATTCTTACTGTGTTTATTGAAGCATTAAAATTGCTTTCAAAATCTTTTTAACAGTTCTAATGCCTGTTTCCACATTAGAAAGAAGTTTTCATGTTCAAAATTACCATGGATTAGGAAACTTATCCAGTTTGGCAGTAATTTTAATTGAAAATAAAAAAGCTAAGAATACAAGCTATGACAATGTTATTAATGATAACGTTCAAAAATTCTTTTATCTTAATAATATGTTAATAAAAAAAGTTTTTTTTAAAGGAATCAGAGAAGGCTTATGCAAAATATTTTTCTCCAAAAATTGCCGGTCCTGGGCGCTACAATGGGTTGCAAGGTACTAGACAAATATTTCACCGACATTCTGGTTTAAAATAATTAAATAGAAAAAAATAAATAAATAAAAAGATATACGTTGTTGTGCAGTTTTTTACAAAAAAAAAAAAAAAAAAATGAAAAGATTAAAAAAACCAAGTTGTTTTCTAATTTTTCATCAATCTTTTAAACTCCTTAATGATTCAATACTAAGACAATTTATAAACATCGAATAAACATAGAAACTCTAAACACAACATACGACGTGGTATTATTAAAAATAAGAAGATATCATTAACAAAGTACTTTAAACCAATACTAACATAATAAGGAGTATTATGGATTACAGATTATATTAAATAACAACGGAGTTTCGGGAACTTAGGCGCTTTATTTTTATTTTAGTTTTTATAATTATTATATAAGACCAAGCAAATAACAAATAAACAAAAGAAATTTTTCTAAGGCTTAAACTTTTTATTTGAAGTTCGTTTAAGATAAAGCTTTTTTTTTTATTTGGATAAAATTTTTATACGTTGATGCTAATTCCAAGTCTTATATAATTATACTGGCATTTGACACAATTATAACCATAAAACAATTTGGAAGCTGTTCTTAGGCTATTCTAACATGCAAAAATCTGTTCCTAAAGTTAGCTGTCTGAAACACATATGAATTCTAGTTGCTTAGGTGGATTTAAGTTCAAAAATCTTGACCTAAGAAGCGATTCATTTTTCAAAATGCTTACATTTTATTTGGTAGGGTAGAGCGGGGCATATCGGGACAGTGGGGCATAACGGGACAGTTATGCATTAAGCCTTTTGTCTTAGCTAAAAAAAATTTTTTTTTTAAACTTTTTTTTGATAAATTTAAATTGTTGTGCTTAATTATTGTAAAAAAATGTTCAGAAGTACCAAAATGCATTAAAAGTACCAAAATGCGTCAGTAAGTTTACAAAAACAACATTTGCGTAATTTCTTAAGCGATACAACGACAAAAGATTTGTCGTGAACTAATTCTAATTTGCTTTATTTATAAAAAGTTTATATTTTTCAAACAGTATTTTTTATCCTCTTTTATAATCTGGTTTTAAAAAAATATCTGGAATTGAACTTTTTGAATAGTTTTATTTTCAGTAAAATGTCTTTTGTGGGGCATATCGGGACAACAAGTTATTTATATAATTGACTATTTTACAACCATTTTGTTTACATGTTTAGATGATAAAATACTTTTATTTTTCTTGACTTTAAAACTTTATAACTAACAAATAACTGCTGCTATTTAACTGCCCCGCTTTGCCCCACCCACTGGCAAAATTTAGAAATTTTGCCAGTAGGTGGGGCAAAGCTTATCTAGACTTTCGTTACCTTGGTTGTCATAACTTATTTTTAGATTTTTTTTTTTTTTTTTCTTTTTCTTATATCAATGAATTTTATGAAACTTATAAAAAACAGTGTTAACAATTATTAGTTTATCCGCAACTAGCATCTGCTCCCTATATGCCCCGCTCTACCCTATTTATAACATTACTTTGAAAAGTTAGAAATAATATTTTAATATTAAAATTTACTTTTTTTAAACGTATTTGAATTATATTAACGGTTAAATTAAAATATGTTTACTACTATAAATAAATTAAAAAAAAAAATGCATATTCTTGCATTTTTTTTGCCAAACAAATTTCTTAATAATAAATCGTTTTGTATTTACTTTATATTAGTACTTGTACGATTGCAAATTTTCCTAAAATGTTTCGAAATATATTTGATTTATAAATAAGTAAATTTATTTAAAATTTTTTATTTAATTTATATACTAATAGATAAAACAAGTCTTTTAATTATCAAAACCAATAAATTATTGTTGAATTTGTAAATGGTTTTAAAACGCACTCTTAAATAGGAAGGAACATTTGAAAGCCAATGTAGAAGTAATTGTTTTAAACTTGAAGTAAAACAAAAACAGTCTATTTAATATTTATAGACAAAAATATACGGATGGCTTGAGGTGACTTTTCAATTCTAAAAATCTTTTGAAAGTGTTTGATTGTGTTTAGTTTCTTGTTAAAATTTTAAATAGTTTAACGATATATGCATAAATATATTTTAACTTTTGAAACTTTCTTTCTTACGCCAAGTTAGGAACAATATTTTGTTTATTTGTACAAAGTTTGTCAAAAGATTAAACGCACTGAAAGCTTATGTGTATATTGTGTTCAGTTTGTTGGTCCTGAGTTGGCTCTGTCTTATCAACAAACTAAATTACGAAGGGAGTTTGAATAGACTATATTGTAACGCAAACAAGACCAAAGATAAATAGTCTTTGGTCTTGTTTGCGTTACAGTACAGAAGACGTTTATGCAATAGGCGTAACTTCGGTTGATCAATGTTTGAAAACCAAACATTATTATAAAGAATTATGGGTATACATAAACAAGTTTTATGCACGTTTTAAAATGCTGAATTTTATTGGAGTTTTTGCAATTAAACAAAGCAAAGAAACAGATGAAAATAACATATTTTTAATAATTTAATAGATGTTCATAAATACTCGTATAAAACTTTTTAAAAATGCATATAAAAGTTAGAAAAAAGTATTAAAGTAAACAACATTACTGCTAAATGAGCCTCATAGAGCAGCCTCCCCCTCCCCCAACAGCCTAATGAATTATTCTGATTAAAAAAGTCATTTTTAAACAGATTAAAAAACAATTTTTCAAAAACCAATTTTTGGCAACTATTTAAATATTTGCCTTGGACAAAGAGGATATAAAAACAAGCAATAAAATAATTTATAGAACTAACAGAATAATCCCTGGATAAGAATTTTAGCATGACATACTTTGGCTTTTGTCCAACAGAGCTATACTATATGTAAAGATCAAAATAAACAGTCTTCAAAAGAGGGAAATTTTGATAAGAGAAATGTTCTGTTTCACAAATGTTGCTTCATTGCTATTGCAAGTTTTAATTGTTCAAGGAAACGTATTACAAAGTTTTCAGAGTGGTAAATTTTTTTAAAGTACATTTAAAAAAGTTAATTAAGTATAATTATGACAATTAATCAGTATGATAATTATAATTGTGATATTTATTCTAAAACCATTTTAACTTACAATTGACGTTTCAGATGAGATGGTTGTGAAGTTTCCAAACACTATAAAAACGTATACGGAAAAAGGTTGCACTTATCTTGATTGCTCTCATTGTCAAGGTTATGGTGTTAATCCATCAGCGGACCCTCGCTGCAAATACGGGTGCAACCAATGTATGACAAATCCAACTAAAATGGCTACGGATGAAGTTTATAAAACAATTAAACCGTTTGTAAAAGAATACATTAGTGGAAAAGTTTTAGGAGCTAATCCTGAAGCGAGTGTACAACGCAAAACATTATTAACTGCTTTTATTGCAGTACTAGCTTTTGCTGCAATTGGATTGGTATTCAAAATTACTTACAACACTTTTATTATTTGTAGGTCGAAGCACCGCATTATTAGCACAATTCCAACGTCACTGAAAATTGTCGTTACCAATGTTTAAAGACAACAACTGTAATTTTAATTTATCTGTTTTAAGAAAAAAGAAAAATACTAATAACTAACCTAAAATTCAAATAATAAAATTAAAAATGTAAATTACTGTATTATATATAATCAAATATGCATTTTTTAATAGTGTGTCTTTTCTTAACTTCCGTCCAAAAAAACTCTTGGATTAAAAATTTGTAAAAATTTACAAATTAACTTTAATGATAGTTTTTGGATAGTATTAAATTTGGTAAAATGTTTTACATTTTCAAGTTTATGATATTTTTTACTCAGAGCGTGTAAAAATACCTTGCTCAATGTTCTAGTTTGCGTTACAATTTTTTTTTAGTAACCAAAACGTTGAATTACAAAAAATCATGATATGAAAAAATTTTCAAGTTTGAAACTTTAGGTCTAAAAAAAAATTGACAAAAAATAAACCGTCCTTCCACCACCTCAACCAAATGTTTTTAATACTTCTCAAATTGTGTTTAAAAAGTTATTAGTTACAAATAAATTTATAATTTTAATTTTTACAAGATTACTGTAAAACTTCATTCAAAACTAAATATAGTTATATATAAAGGTGAAAATTGATAATTTTGAAAACTAGAATTTTGTTTCTAAATAAAAGGCGCACGTAAAGACTTAAAAGTAGAGTTGGATTTTAAATTTTTTTTGGAACAAGATGCTTGTGGTTAGCAGGGCACCCGAGAGCTGTCACGCCGCCTGGGACAACAATCCTGATCGGCACCCTCATTTATCAAACTTTCCCTGTATTATATATGAAGGACCTTTTTTTTTTTAGGTACCTACATTTTGTTTAACGCCCCTTGGATATCTGCCGCCCGGTGGCCCCCCCCTCTCGGCGGCACTGATGGTTAGGAATAAATTAATGGTTGGAAAGAATCAAAGGCGAGTTTTAGAGACGCCTCTAGTAAATTGTGGCAATCCCCATAAAAGTATTTTAAGATTTTAATGCCTACTTTGTGTTTGGCTATATTTTTTCTTATATATATATATATATATATATACATATATATATATATATATATATATATGCATATTTAGTAAACATATTTAGTGGATGGTCTTTATTACTTTCTGCTACAAAAACTGTCACGGTGTAAATAATCTGGATAGACACGCAGAGTAGACTTTAAGTCTTGTATACTTGTTTCGTTAAAAAGAACTTGGCTTTAGCGTATATAGCGCAAAATGAAAGGCGATTTATTAAGTATAAGGTTTTACTAAACCTTATATATAATAAATCTTATACGGGTGACCTCAATTGTATTTTTTTCTTTTTTAGCTTAAAAATAAAATAAAATACTAAACCCAAATTTAACAACTTTTACTGAACAAGCAAACCAAAGCTCCAAGAATTTACAATTACTATTATAAATTAATTACTACTAAGTGAATTTTTAGTAACTGAAAACACTCTATTATAAAATGCTTACATATTGGATCAGAGAGATGTGTTATTTTATTGAAACTTTAAAAATTAGCAATAAATGCGGGTTTTTGTATTTACCAATTTTATGTTTATTTTTATCCAGGCTGAAACTAAGTACATGATAAATACAAAAACCGCAAAAAAAAAAAAAAACAACCTAAACCCTAGATTAAGTTTATTACTAAACTGGAATAAATGAACATAGATCCTGCGGGTATTACTATAACCAATTAAAATCAAGTAACTAGATAAAGTATTTCGAGCCTTTACCCGGGATCATGCTAGGTTCACGTCTACTTAAAGAGATGTATGTAAAATCGTTGATATCTGGTAACAAAATAATAAATACATGTTGAAAAAAAGTTCACGCCATATTATTAGGCTCGTTCGAAAATGTTTTATTAAGTTCCTCACAATGATGCAAAAGCTCTTCGCAATACCTAAGACAAAAAGAAAACAAAAAATGATCAAACTGAAAGTTAAAAAAAAAAGTCAAAACCTAACAGAGCCAAGCTAAGAATTTGCCGTTTTGTAATCTTAATTGTTGTAAATATTAGCTACTCACTGTTTCGTGCGATGCTTTAAAACAACGTCGTCAACAAGCTGCTTCAAAAGTAAGGGGTGTTTACAAGCACCGATTTTTAAGCAACCTAATATAGCTTTCTAAAATCAATACATAAAATTAAACTGTAAAGAAACACAACTAAAGTATTAAGAACTCAGTTTAATTTGTTATTGAAAATATGTTAACCTATGAAGAAAAAATATTTACCTTTTCACTTAGGTGCAAACGATTTTAATGGTATAGTAATTTTGTCATTGACGTCATTTATATATCGATTACAATAACGTCATTTGAACATATCAAAATGAGTTATATAATTTCTATAAAAGATTAAGAATCTGTAACTACTTTTACCTGAATTATTTCATTGCGATCGTCCATATGTATTAGCAAAGTTTTATACAGGTACTCCAAATGATATTTAAAGAGGTGTCGATCGTAATCTTCAGGTAAGCACCTAAAATAAAGAAAACCATTATATAAGATAAAAAATACTGTTGTATAAAATCAGGAAAAAGTCACATACTACGCGTAAGAGTAAAACAACTGGATTAAAAATAAATGCAACAGTAAGCTATAAATTTCAATAAGTTTTAATAATTTCTTTTGGGGAATAAGCAAAATTTTTAAAAATCATTGTGTAAAATACAAAAAATTGGTAAATAACTTACTTTGAACATGGCTTTATTCTCCGCGTATAGAAGGGCCAAAATATAAACTTAATGTCTAATTATGGTCATAATTTATAAATAGTCTAGTTGCAATAAAAAAATTTAATAATCTGTTCTTAAACGGAGGTCAGAAATCTGGTGCTAAATTATAAAAATCCGGAAATTGCCATTTCGTTACAGATAACCGAATCTCAAAATGGTCATACAAAAATTGTACTGCGAAAAAATTTAGTTCATTACATATATTTATAAATAGAAAATGAAATTTGGTTTATAATTTAGTAAAAATATTTAAAAAATTTAAACAAGACATTAATATCATATTTTAAAACAATAATATATTTGATGCGTATTTATTTTAAAACAACAGTGACGGCGAATAGTTGTCACGCGAAAGATAAACTAAATTTAGCTTTTTTTTAATTTAACATCCCAAGGACAAGGGGCCGTTACAGCCAAGGAGTTTATTTTTTATTATCCATCTCCCGAGATTTTTTTTCAAACAGATAAATGATTGACTGCATAAACTACAACAGAAACAATTACAGCCATCTAATATATAGTTACCAATGTTACAGCGGGGGTTGTAATTATTCATTAGCGATTAATTATAAAAATAAATTATTTTTACGCGCTTTATTTAATTAATCAATTAGTTTTGACGTCATCATCTGGTAAAACATTATAATATCAGTTAAGACATTAAAAAAAAAAGTCAAAAATTTCACTTCACAAAGTAAATAATTATTTAATTACAAATATATAATAAACTGTATATTTGTATGATTTCAAATGAATATAATTAGTCTTAATTCTGAACAAATCATTTTTTAAACAGTTTTTATACTATTGTTGTCAAAATAAATAAAATTTATATATTTGAATGGTTGTCAAAAACGTGCGCCCCTGAGTTTACTTGTATTAAAATCTTTTATTTTACATACTTAAATCTGAATTTATTATGCTATTAAAATCCTGTAATGTAATGTTAATTTTTATTGCCATTTTATAATAACCGATTGTCAATTTTAAGTTGTTTTGCATTGACCTAGTCAGAGACAGGCTGCCGAGGGAAGTGAAGGAAATTTATCTTCCTGGGCCGGTAACTTTTTAATAATTTCCAATGTTCAATCGTTCGAAGCAAAATCTATTAACAAGTAAGATAAAATGATTTGCAGTTAGTCAACTTTTGTTTTTATTCGATTGACTTTGAATAAACACTTTTTCCTTTAGGAAATTTTGAATTTCATTTGATTGCATATGCAAATTAAATACTTAATAAATTACGTAACTTAGTAGAAAAAGTTCCTTAAGATTTAAAGGCTTTTAATATTAGTTTCTTATAAACAAGCTTCTTATTAAAAAGAAACGTACCGATCAGATGTGATTAATTTTAACTAAAACAACAAAAATAGAGCAACAAAAATTAGTTGTAACTAAATTTGTAAAGCATCTAGTGTTTTTTCAAAGTTTGATCGTTTACTGGCCTTTATTTTGATCACTGATATAGAATAATTGTTATATGGTAACAGTACTTAAACTTTTCGTTGGCGAAAAATGTATATATTTTTTTTACATTTGCGACTCGTTTAAGAGCCGCAAATGTAATTTATTAAACAGTTCAAGGTAATCAATTTATTATACAGCTTTTTTTAGAGTTATCTGGAAAAAAAAGAAAGAAAGGTGAAACCGAAAAAAATAGAGAAATTACGAGACCAGCTTCAACATGTGTGTTAGCAAAAACGTGTGTTAACATTCAAGAATGTTTTATAAGTTCAATGTAAGTATTTTAAATTAATTAATAAATCAAAATGAAAAACATCTAACCGTATTATCAGGAGTAAGAAACATTTAAATGTAGCTTAGATCATTTTCTTAAACGATTATTCGTTTTTATTTATTCGTTAAAGAATATTCGTAAAAACTATTCGTTTAAATTATTCGTAGGATACGAATATATTCGTAAACCTATATTCGTTTAATAAATAATAGCCGTTTAACAAATATATATTCGTCGAACAAATAAACGGGAACGGTTTACTTTTACTCGATAAACGAATTAATATTTGTTCAACGAACATTATAAGTTTATAGAATGTTATTTGTTAAGCGAATTTTATTTAAACAAATATAATTTTTAAACGAATATAAAATAACCAAAATTTGTATTTTACAAATATATTATTAATTTTTAATTTTCATTATTTGAAAATGTTAAACAAACATATCAATATTGCGATTTATACTCTTCCAGTTAATTTTAGATTCACGTTATAAAAATATCCGGAATTCCGGAAATATCCGGAAAAAGATAATCCCTGGATTCACGTTATACCAACAACCTGCAGGTCACGATTCATTTACAAGCCGCCAACAACATACGCTGGTAGAGACGTTTAACAGAAAAATACATTTAGATTTTAAAAAAATAAAAATACAAGTTTAAATATAAAAGTAAAAGTGCTAAAAAGACCTTCGACCATATAAACTGATAGACACGCCTTACCGCAAATTTAATTCACAAAGTTTTGAAGCCAACATCTTTTGGCGCGTGACGTCACGTTTGGGCATTTAACAATTTTTAATATCGATTTAGGGTTAAAATAGCTTAATGTATTTAACACTTTTAAAGTTTTAATATTTGTTATGTATATTATTTTGTTTAAATTTTGATTTTCAAATAGAATATAGGTATATAAAGATCACGATTTTATCTTGTACTGCATTGCACTCAAAGATATACTAAATTGCACTCAAAGATATACAAAGGGGTTTCTTTTTTTTTTTTCTTTTTTTTTTAATTTTAATTCACCTCCTTAACGCCGAGAAGGCCACTACAGACGAGGAGGCTACTTATTTGTGGTTATAACCCTTTCTCAACTCTATAACTCCGAAACACGAACCTTGACGAACAAGGCCGCTGCGCGGAGAAACGAGTTGAGCGCGGTACTACCAGAGACGTGGTAGGGATCGAACTCGGAACCACTCGTTTATAAAGCGAGCGCTCTACCACTACACCACTACCGCATGTGTTCATGTGTAACTACTTACAAATCATTCTTTGCTAAGATCCTAACTTATATTTCAAATATAAATAGCACTCCAGAAAATAGAAAAAAGTTTTTAAAATTAACTATAAGTAATTTTGCTGCTAAACAAAAGACAATAAAAATGCTTCAGTAATTCAACTGTTGCTTAATAAAAGAGATTAAAGACCTACATTCATTCCTTTGTCATTTTAAATCAAAAAGTATGAATCATACTATGATTTCTGAAGAAGTATCGACTACACTAATGGTATAAATTGGTATAAAACATATTTATATTTGTGATTTTTTATTTTATTTGTGTATTTAATTATTTTAAATATTTGTTACTTATTTAAGTTATACCTTGGGATTATTTTGTTTTAGTCAACCTACTGTTGAAATATGGTTTTAAATTAGTAATTTTTTATGATTAAAAACTTACTAGATTAATCATCAGATAACAGTTAGGAAAATTTTAGTTTATCACAATTACGGTAGGAATAGCGATGAGTTAATTATTGTATTCTTCGTAACAGTAATAATTGTTGTTATGATTGTAATGCTATTGTGATAATTTCATCTATTTCTTGATACCCCAATCAATGATACGCTATTTTACTTGATTGGGTTTTCAAGTATAAATATGTTGTAACTAAAAATGTGTTTATTTAATCTATTTAATTTTAGGGAGCTATGTCTGAGTCTGCAAAACAGTTATTTTTTCGGGATTTACAAGAAATGTTAAAAAGCATTACCCATCAGAATTACAAAGCTTTGCTTTGTAATTCTGATGGGTAATGCTTAGAACTAACACAGAGTTGTTAGTCCTTGGCCTTGACTTTGCCTTAAGGCCAAATATTAAGGCCTTGGCTTTGGTCTTGAAACTGATGGTCTTGGCCTTGGCCTTGAAAATTTTGGCCTTGGCCTTCAAAAAAAGTACATAAAATTGAAGAATTAAAAGATTTCATTCTTTATTTTTATGTATTTTTATTTTTGACTTCATACATATCTACAAGTATGTTTTCTTATGGACTTCATAGAATTTTGCGTGTAACCCTGGTTTATTTTTACATGTAGTTTATTATCACAGCAATTGTTACCTACAGTTTTGTTAATAAATTTTCTTCTTCTTAACGTTATGCAAAATTTCAAGTCTTTGGGCTTGAAAATGTTTGTGTAGGCCTTGGCCTTAAAATTCTTATTCTTGACCTTGACCTTAAAACTCTTGGCCTTGGACTTGTAACTTTTGGCATTGGTCTTGGCCTTAACCTTGTAACATGTAGCCTTGGCTTTGTCTTTAGCCTTGCTAATTTTGGCTTTGTTAACAACCTTGGTTTAAAATTAAATTTTTATTCTGCTAAAGCATATAGTTATGTTAGAAAAACATTTTATAATGCACTGCCTTATCCACAAACTATACAAAAATACTATGAAAGTGTTCACTGTTCCCATGGATTTTGTAAAGAAGCTTTAGTTACTCTTTATAGCAAAGTAAAAGAGGCTTAGAAAATTGGTCAACATGTTGTGTGTTCATTTATGTTAGATAAAATGGGCATTTGAAAAAAAAATTGAATGGACAGGCCATAAATTTTCTGGTTATATTGGTTTTTGTGCCGATATCAATAATGATAGTTAACCCAAAACAAAAGAAGCTTTAGTTTTTATGGTAAACTGTATAAATGGACGTTGGAAACTTCCTGTTGTATATTTTTTAATTGATGATTTAGGTGGTTATGAAAAAGCTAATATTGTTAAGCGTTGTCTTTTATTTATACATGAAAGTTGTGCAGAAATTATAAATTTTTTATTGCTAAATATTTAAAGATAAGATTGCACCACAAAGCTGACTTGATAAACGATTTACTACATAATAAACGTAAAAAAGTGTATTAACAAAACAAATTTTATTTTCGAATCAATAAAAAGTTTTTTTGTATATTAATGTAATGGATAATAAAACACATAAAATTGTAATAACTGTTAGGTTTTCTATTCTAAGAAATCTAAAAATGCATTAAAATAATAATTGATACAAATAATAAATTTAATAGTATTTTAAAAAATAATAATAAGTTTTACTACAAAATTTTAAATTTAACGAAAAGTTTTCTATTCTTAAAGCTTTATTTCATTTGTATATTGCGTTTTGTTTTGCCCAAACGTGACATCACGCGCTAAAAGATGTTAGCTTCAAAATATTTAACTTACGGCCTGTCTATCAGTTTATATGGTCGAAGAAAAAAACGGCAAATAAAAGAAAGAAGGCGGCGCAATCATTTGCAACTTTTTAATAATTTTTTAAGACATTTCATCATTTAAGATATAAAAGAATCTTTAATATGTTAAATGATGAAATGTCTTTAAAATTTTTAAAAAGACGCGAATGATGATTATCTTTTAAAAAGTTAAACCTCATTTTAATAAAAATTTAATTGAACATCATTTATGATTTAAAAACAAAACTTTTTATAAGTAATGTTTTCTTGCTTCTTATATATTATATTAACGAAATATTTAAATTGAGTTGATCATCAGCAAGGTAACTTTACAGGTAAATTTTTTTTACGCAATTTATTCATTTTAATAAATCAAATTTAGTTGTGGAAAACGGAGCAACTCCGAACAAAAATACCATTTTAGGCTTTTTTACTTTGTTTTTTGCAATAATTATTTATATAATTATTACTTAACTTTTATATTATATGTTATATATTATATATATGAAACAATATGATAAAGTTTGTTAAATATTAGCTATTACTCATGCTGATTTTCGGCACAGGTATTTCTATCTAAACTAATTTTATCTGTTTATACTAATGATATTCTAAAGGATTTTCCTTTCAATTAAAAGTTAATTTAGATTAAACATTGTTAAACATTTAAATTTTTTTTTCAGGTGCAAGCTGCTTTTCTTCATAAAATGCCCAGAAAATCTGGGCATTTTATGAAGAAAATGCCAAACTTGTTGCTAAAGCCGGTACTACTTCAGGTCTTATTAATCATCTAAAAAGGCAGCACTGCCATGTTTTTTTGGAATATGAGAAAATCAATTATGCCCAACAAATTGCGAAAAAGTTTCGTGTTATTGATGATAACGACTCTTCAGAAACTGATTTCAACAGTACACCCAAACGAGCTCATCTTATTGCCACTCCTGAGTCATACCCTAAATTTTATAACATCATCTGGTAAATCGAGAACTGCTAAAGCCTCTAAAACTTACCGTGTTGTTACTCCATGGCTCAAAAAACATTTTTTGAAAATGTAAATAGTTACATCATTGACTAAGTGGATTGTCCGCAAACAATTACCTTTTAGGATAGTGGATAATAAATATTTTCATGAAATAATGAAGCAAGCAATGAAGGGGAAGTATAAACCTGTTTCATCAAAACCACTTTCTCAAGACAGAATTCCTAAATTATATAAATTCATCAGTGATCATGTAAACAAAATTATTGACAATGAAAAAACTGATCTTGACAGTTGTTTCTTTACTACTGATATCTGGACTTCTTGTAATAACCTTGCTTTCCAATTGCTCACTCTACATTTTATTACAAAACATTTTCAGGTTAAACGACTTCTTGTTAAACTTGATCCATAATGCTGAAAATATCGTAGAAAAACTAGATTACTTAATAAAATGCTTGAATTTGGAGAATAAAACATGATGGAGGTTCAAATGTTATGAAAGCTATACATATCAGCAAAAATATCAACAACAATTTTTGGAGCACTGATCATCAGATACATTTAATTGTCATACAAGCTCTAGCTAGTGTTCCTGAGTGGTTAGAAATTTCACTAAAGCCAAACAAATTAGTTAGGCACTTCAGTCATTCTTCTAAGGCTACAAGTATTTTGAGGAAAATTGCTATTGAGCATAAGCAACCACGAACTAAACTTATAAAAATAATTAAAAGTATTTATTTCCAACAAGTTGGTACTTTTAATAAGTACCAACAAGTTGGTACTTATTAAAAGTACCAACTTGTTGGAGTTCTGACTTGAGTCAGCTAAAATCCTTTATTGATCTAAAAGGGTGCCTGGCTATTATGGCAGAAATGTCAACTAAAACTGAAGGTTGGATGCCCACTGTTGTAGTAGCCTTTAATATCATTAAAGGTATTATTGAATGTCTTGATCCAATCGATAAAATTTCACAAGTTTTAAGCTCTGACAAAGACCCAACAATCAACTTGGTGATATTGAAAATCTATAATCTCAAGAAAAAATTAGCTGAAATTGGAAAACTAAATTCTCTTAAATGTGTCATGAATATAACTCAAGCTCTAATAGCAGGAATCCAAGAACATTTTCCTGATTGTGGTCATAAAGAACCTGAGTATTCAATGGCACATTTTCTTGATCCAAGACAAAAGGGATCAATCATTTTAGCACTTGATGAGCAAAGATACAAAAACATCAAGGATACTTATACTCAAGCTATAATTGATATGCGTCGAAGAGATGTTGGCGAAAGTCCAACATGCATTGAAAACTTAAACCAATCATCCAAAAATGATAATTCGTCCGATGAAGAAGCTTCAACTGCTGCTGTAAAGAAGCTATATGGGCAAAATAAAAACACTGATAAAAATTGTCCATTAACTTATGCCGAATGCAAGATAGCACATTATGTTGATGAAGGAGTTGCAAACGACAACGCA